CCCAGGGCTGCTGTACCGGCCACTTTGCCGGCCAACTCTTGTAACCCTCCAAAGTAAGTTTCACAATGCTCATTACAGTTGAGAAAATCAATGTTCAGTGAGTGACTTATCCCGGAACACCCAGGGACAGAGTTAAAATTCAAACTAGTCTTTCAGCTTTCAAGTCTTCCTGTTAGATACAAAAAAATTGGTTGTCAGAAGGGGTTTTAAAGAATTTGACAAATGATGGGCTTCTGAGACGCACCCAGAGAGTTGGGACTCAAACCCAGGTTTTCCAATCCCTGGTCCCGGGGCCTTTTGCCACATTACAGCATTGCCACCCAAAGCGCTGGGTTTTCCCAAGAGGTGTCTGGATGGGATTCCAAGCCAGCGAGATGCAAATAGGTCTGACCCACATTCCAGTTCTTGGATACATAAAAACTCCTAAAGGGCAGAGCCCATTTTGTGTGCTTAATTTGAGAGTCCCACTGTGGACAGTCAATATTAAACAACAATAGGTACATCTGCCAAGGACTAACAGCATGGGTTCAATTTTAGCAATCAAAATACTGGGAATATGGCTGAGGAACCAAATAAAGGTGCTGAAAGGCTGGATCAAGTAATCAGATTTTTAGGAGTTTTTAAAAAAAAACTTCGAAGTCATCCAGTCCAACTCTAATTTTATAAATGAGACCCTGAGAAATTAAAATACTGTGCACAAGGATCTGACACCAGCAGGCAACAGACCCTCTCCTGTCTCCCAGTGCTATTTAACTTTATGTCATAAGGCATGGTAAGAGAATGTTTTCAGGAACATAACATGCCATAAACTGAAGTTGGACTGGGTGGCTATGGAGTCATCATTGATTATGAAATGTCTCTCAGATTCAACTTCTACTTACCTCACTGACCAAGTGACCTCTAAGAAATCTCTACTGCTGGCTTTCAAGTTTAACCAGGTTGGTATTTCTCAAGTGTCTTGTTAATTTTGGTTTCCTGAACTCCTCTCATGTCATTCCCCCCGCCCCCCAAATCTGCTGGCCCTCCAAGCTCTCTCCACTGTTCTTTCCTTATAATTCACCTTCTCTGAGAAGGCTTCTCTGCTTCCTTGTCTTCCCATCAACGTTTATCTTGCTTTGATTTGCACAGTACTTATGTTCAATTCTTTCCTTCCTACCAGAAAAGACTCATTTATTGCTTGGCTTTTTCTTAGATCCCCAAAGGACAAGATAAATGGTTTCTACTCACTTTTATTTTTTTATGGTGCCTAGGACAATGCTGTGCTCCAGTAAGCACCAAATATTTGTTAAAGGAACAAACCATGTTAACTTCGCTACAAAAGGGAGATTATTGGTAGAAAATGAAATAAAAATCACTTTCATCTGCTAGGTTATTCTGAATTCTCAAAGACTAACAAGTCACATGCACATGAGTTTGACAGTCTATCAAAAAACTAGTTCAGTGATTGATGCTCTATCAAAATATTGGTCCATTGGTTCTCAACCCTGGCTGCTCACTCAAATCAACTTGGAAGCATTTATAGCTACCAAGACTTCACCACAGATAACTGAATCAGAATCTGTGCAGGTATGCCCAAGCAATGATTTGCATGCACCACATTGGTATTTGATCTGCACATACTGATTTATACAACCTCACCCTTATTAATAGACTCTTCTAAAGAACGAGCATGATCACATAGGTTTTGTTGTTCTTAGAATCACAGAATTTTAGAACTGAGAACTAAGATACTATCTGGACCAACCCCTTTATTTTACAGCTGAAGATTCTGTGACTTAAGAGAGATTGAAAGAGTAGCCTGACACAGTGTCAAGGTGACTGTTGAGTGACAGGTCATGTCCTGAATTCATGGAATTCTCTGAACTCCGGTTCAGGAGCTGTAGCGAGTAAATCAAACTGTTCAGTTTTTAAATTTCTGCTTTCTTCTGTAGAAAACGTATAAAAATTAGTGTGTGTGTGTAAGATTTGGATTTTAAAAGCTGTTAGCACCAGGTACTCCTTAAAGACCAATCTGGCACATTCCATCTAGCCCATTGTCACAGCAGAGGAAATGCCACAGTGGGACATATCAAAGTCCAAAAGAAATGACTAGTACGTATTTGCAGGTTTTTTCATTGGCCCCGATCCATAACATTTTGTGCTATCAGAGCCCAGTGCACATCTAGCCCTTAACTATACCACTTATTAGCAGACTTATTGCTTGTGAGCAAGCTAATCAACACCCTGAACTTCCCTTTTCTCTATAAAAAGGAGATAGTGGCTGTCCTATTGACCTTGCATTTGTCAGTTATTAGAAGGATTAAATCAGATGATCTATGTGGAGATATCTGAGAATAGTAAAGCCCCGTGTGTACATATGTATAGAATTCTTATATTATGATCCTTCAGAGTAATGACTTGTGAATAATTTTGTGTTGCTTTGATTACCTGGGCTCTAAATCCTAATTCCTCAGTACCATGCCACCCAAGAATCAACAGGAACTGGAGTTAGTGCTAGACTAGAAGTTCTAGTCACTGAAAGTATCATTTAACTAAATATTCAGGGAGGTAAAGTGATGTACTGACCAGGATTTAGCTAGTCTAGGCTCTGGTCCCAGAGTCTGCTTTTAACTATTGACTTTGGACAAGTCACTTAATTTTTCTGGGACCAGAGTCTCGTCAGTGGTCAAAGGATGACTTGAATTAGAGTCAAAGATCCTTTTGATTTATAAAATCAGAATATTAGTGCTTAATTAAAATTACTAAAGTGCAATTTCCCAAGTCGTTAATTGATGTGGTTTCACATTTTTTAAATCTCTCTTTAGAAGTACAGGGTTAGAGGCTAAAAACATAAGCCTATTTCTGGTAAACAGACATTTCAAACACATGTGTAAGACCCTCGTTAAAAGAAACATCCTGGGGCACCTGGGTGGCTCAGGTCCTGCTCTCGGGGTCCTGGGATCAAGCCCCACATCGGGCTGCCTGCTCCGCGGGGAGTGTGTTTCTTCCTCTCCCTCTGCCCCTCTCCAGAGCTCATGCTCTCTCTCTTGCTCTCAATAAATAAAGTCTTTTAAAAATTCTGTAAAAGAAACATCTCAACTCAGATACTTTGTGCTTACTAGTATCCTGTTCTGGTACCCTTGCTCCAAAAACAAATACATGGTTACCCAGAAGGCACAGAAGACACTACTGGACACAGAGTAGGCACCCAAATACTATTACCTTACAGCTCTCAGTCTGAGTCCTAGCTCTTGTTACTTAGCTCATCTGAGCCTGTTTTCTTATCTATAAATGGGACAATACCTTTCTCAATGATCCACTGAGATAGTGTATATTAAAATGTTTTTCTGTAAACTGTTAAAAACAATTGCAAGATATTACTACTACCTAAGGAATGTAGCTTATTATACTGTGACCTAAGAAGTGTACTTTTTCAAGAGACAGATTAAAATCTTTGTGAATTCATTTATTATGGACACAGCACCTACTCCAGCGTCTGCCTCAACAAATATGCTCAATAAATGTCTGCCGCATGAAAAGTATAATCCACAGAAAGACCAAACGCTCCATGAGCTTAGATTCCATATTTCTCTTTATCTCCAAATTCCCAGAGCTAGCACAGCATCTGACACACAGAGGAAATACAATAATTATTAGATGAATACATTTTTGTCCCCTCTAGTTCCTCTTCAGCACAGCTCAGGAAGTAGACATGGGCAGAAGAGGCATCAAAGATGATTTTTGGTAAAGGCTGCTTGGAATAGAACTGAAAATTACCTGGGAAATTCACCCACTCTCTAACAAATAGCTTGGGAGAGCAGAAAGAGCATAGACTCTGAGTTCAGGTTCAGTTTCCAAATTGTCCAATCTTGGTAAATTACTCTATTAACCTCTCCAAGACTGTTTCCTCATCTTAAAATGAGAATAAAAAGAGAACAGTACCGCCCTCATAGGATTAGACACCAGAATGGACGCTCCATAAGAGCAGGGGCTTTACTTGGGGCCCACGGTATCTACCCTGTACAGTACTGAACTTTACTGAACAGGGCCAGACACAACCACAGGTTCTCAAATACTTGTTGACTTTGTGAGAAACTGACTGAGAGGACACAGGTGAAGTATGTAACAGAAAAATTGCACACAGTAAACACTTAGCATACGGGAGCCTCTTTCCCCTTCACTTTTCACATCACCACTATCATCATCACATACTATCAGCATTATTACGCGACTGGCGGCTGTAGAGCAGCTGCCTTTGGGGAAAAGACCCGGATTTAAATCTCTAATTCCCCATTTACCAGCTGTGTGTCTTAGGACAAATTACTTAACCTATCCGGGTTCCTTTGCTGCCACAAAAATCTCCGTGTCGTGAGAATCAGAAGCTGCATGGCGACCACCTAACACTGAGTCTGGAACCCCCGCGGCACGTGAGACGTGGCAGCGACTATTACTAAGGCAAAAAAAAAAAAAAAAAAAAAAAAAAAAAAAAAAATTTATCCAGATAACTGCCTGCAATTTCCCACATTACTGCTGCTGAATACATAACATGACCGCAAACAAGGGGAGGAAGGAAAGAATTTCAAAGAGACCGAAACCGCTAAACAAGAAAAAGAGGGAATTAAACCGGTGCTTGGCAGTTCCCACCAAGGGGTGCCAGTTTCCGCGACTGTCAACCTGCCCGACCAGCCAAGGCTAGAGCAGGACAGTCAGCTCCGATAGGAACAAAAAAGAGGCAGAGCCGACGCTTGCCCCCCTCCCCTAACGGTCTCTTGGCCGCTGGCCTCGAGCGGCCCCGGGACTCCCGTTTCCGGCCCTGGCCGGACCACAGCTCCCAGCATGCCTTTGGCGGGAAGTCTTTCCCGCTGGATGACTACTAATCCCGGCATGCCATTCGGCACTCCAGTAAATTAGATGGAAGAGTGGAATGCCCCCAACGAACGCAGGGAATTGTAGTCCACTTAACTGCTGGCTCTTAGAGGGGCGGGGAAGAGCCGGGTCGCTCTCGTCAGCTGAGGAGAATGATTCATAGAGGAGGGTCGGGAGAGAAGAACAGTTCTGTCTGCAAGAGCCCACTTAAAAGGCTGGACTCTTCTCCGAGGGAGGGAGAGGCAGGAGAGTAAGCGAGGCCTCGGGCCTGGCCCCGCCTCGGGCCGCTCGTCAGACCTCTATCGAGTCCTGGGCCTTGACGGGGGCGGCCGCGAGGCGCCGGTTGCTGGGGGACCGTGACGTCGCGGGGTGAAAGTTGAGGGGCGGTGACGTCGGCCCTGCCCGGGCGGAGGCTGGCGGGTTGGAGGCAGGAGGGAGGGAGGGAAGGAGGGAAGGAAGGAAGCTGGGAACGAGCGAGCGAGCGGGGGCGCGAGGCGTTTACCTGGAGGCAGCGGCTTGGGCGCGCAGAGCGGCCGCGGCTCCCCCGCACCTGCGGCCATGGATGAGGAGCGCGCCCTCTACATCGTCCGGGCCGGCGAGGCGGGGGCTATCGAGCGGGTCCTGAGGGATTACAGCGATAAGGTAAAGAGCCCTGGCCCCGGGCGTGCGGTGGAGCACCCCCGGGCCGCCCTCGGGGCTTGCACATCGCATCCCTCCCAACCCCCTTCATTCCGGGGATGCGCGTTGCTCTTCCCCGAAAACGTTTCCGGCTTGGGCATGCGTGTTTGTGCCCCCAGCCTTTCCCGTCCGTGCATCCTGCATCCCCCTGCCCCCACTCTGGCGCCCACTCCTCCGATTCCGGCCCAGCAGCCTGTCCTACGGTCCTCTTCCCAAGCGTGCAAGTCACACCCCCGGAATCCGTAGATGTGCGTCTGTGCCCTGTGCCCCACTCTGGGATGCAGAAATGCACGCGAGGCTTCCTCACCTGTATAGCCTGAAAAATCCGTGTTTCCGTGCTTAAACACGGCCCTCGATATGCATAAAACATATCAGCCACGATGGCAGTTCTTTGTATACCTGTAGCACTGTACACTTTCCAAGGCTTGATGTCTCCTATATGATCTAATTTGATTCTCAGAGTGTGTATAGGGTAGATGGTGTCATCCTTCCCATTTTATAGATGAGAAGACTGAGGCGCTAAGAACTGAAATCATGCCAAGGTCATGGACGTACTATGTTGTTAAGTGGGCGGGGGGAGAGAGATTCTGACTCCGAATAATACCTGTTATTTGTATCGCATTAACAGCTTTCCCATCCATTATCTCATTTAATCTCAACGGCAGTCCTGTGAGGTTTTATCTTCGTTTTTTGTAATTGAGATTCTATATCGGTTAAGTAACTGGCCCAAGGTCATACTTGTGAGCTGGGATTCCAGCCAAGGTCTTCAAACCATTCATTGTTCTTTCCACTTTACAACTCTGCAGTATAAAGGTATCTTGTTATAAATCCCAGCCACTTCTCTGAATCTTTCTCCAGGAACCGTTAGCTCTCCATTACTTTTCCTTCCAGGAATTTTACATGCTCACTTCAAAAGGTAGCATACCACACCTTTATTCTTCCATTTAGAAGACTGCTTTATAGGAATGACTGACTACTCACTTCTGTGAAAACACTCAACACCAATCTCACCCCAGATATAGCATTTTTCTTCCTTTCACTAGCTTCCACTCATAGTTTCCCTTTCTGTGTTTGTTATGTCCCCACCACTGCACTTTATTATACTTTGTATGATTGAGCTGCCAGTGTGCCATTTCTGCCCTGGGTGGAGAAGATCCAGAAATAAAACACCTTCATTTCCATTTAATCTTCTCAACAACCCTGTGAGGAAAGTGGTGGTATTCCCCATTTCACAAACGACATTTAGGATAATGTTGCCTCAAGTCCACACAGTCATTGAGAGATGGGGCTGAGATTTGAATCTAGGTTGTCTGACAGCTCTTTCTACAGTGCCATGCTGCTTTCTTTGGGAGGATGTATGGATGGATTAAATTCTGTTTATATCTTAGCTCCTTCACTCTCTAATATGCTTTACTGTTGCATATCTGTCTAATTTAGGAGAAATTCATTTAAGGCATAGGTGTACATATTGTAGAGATTATATTCATTTAACGTGATTTATAACTCCTTTCCAAAAAGAATTTGAGGCAGCTACCAACTGATTTTCAAAAGAGAGTGTTTTTTTTTAAGATTTTATTTATTTATTTGAGAGAGAGAGAATGAGAGATAGAGAGCACGAGAGGGAAGAGGGTCAGAGGGAGAAGCAGACTCCCCGCTGAGCAGGGAGCCCGATATGGGACTCCATCCCGGGACTCCAGGATCATGACCTGAGCCGAAGGCAGTCGCTTAACCAACTGAGCCACCCAGGTGCCCAAAAGAAAGAGTGTTGAATCAACTAGTATTTATTTTGCAATTACTATATGCCAGATATCCAGCAATAAATAGGAACTTTCTTCTCTAGGGAAGGGAGGAGGAAAAACCTCCAAATGCATCTTACCAGTTTCTTCAATATTTCTCCTTTCCTTCATGGCTAAAATGATTAGAACTCCAGATTGGATTCCTTGAATTTATCTCTTCCTTTCCTTGATCTCCCTCCAGGCTGGTTTCCACTTACCACTCCTGGCCAAGTGCTGTCAGAGCTTAGGTTCTGGACATCTCCAGCTCCCCTTTCACATTGAGAATGTTTTTAAAGTTGTAATGCCCAGTGTATATTATTTAAGGTGGTATTCCTGAAGTGCTTTTTGGGCCACGCCTGATAATGCTCTGACTTGACTCGAACCCTGTCAGTCAGCTCCTTCAGAAAAGAGCTCTATGTTTAACGCTGATAATAGTAGGGCTAGCACACAAAGAAAATAGCTGAGGTTCATGTTGGCAGTGGGGCTATACCCCTCAAGGCAAGAGAGACCTAGGAGGCAGATCAATAGGAAGGGGAAGTATGATTGTGGTGGTCTGGCAATAAAAATGGGGATGTGGAATTAAATTGCCCAGATCTGTGGGATATGGAGTTTGAAACCCTGAAAAAGTAGCTGAATACTGTGTGCTTCATTTTCCTATCTGGAAAAATCAATTTGGGAAATGCTTAGAATAAGGGGTGATTATGGGGCATCGAGGAGTCTAACCAAGAATGGAAATGAATGATGTACAGAGAAAGCAACTGGTTCGTTGTTTGGGGGAAGAGGTTCTTTATGCTACTTTATTTCTCTAATAAAGCTAGAACTTGGGACAGTTCTAGAAACACATCACACATTTGAGTAGGGTATGTAAATATCCTGGACCACGTAAGAGGACTTTTTCCTTTTGCTTTCCACTTTGGGGTGGAGTTCTGACTCTTTGAGTTCATTCCACAGATTTCTGCAGAGGAGCATGTTTAATGGGCTGTTCCCTCCAGATACTGGAAAGAAGGTAGAATTTAGAGTCAGATAAATCTTGGTTCAGATCTGCCTTTTATTGGCTTCATGGCTATGGATGTTATTTTAAGCCTGAGTCTTGGCTTCCTTATCTGTAAAATAGGGATAACATTAAGTTATCACACGGCTTAAATTAACTGAAGTTTAATGCTTAAATTAACTGAAGTTTAATGCACTGAGCACAGTGCACCTAGGAGGCTTTTACTCAGTGAGTAAAGTGAGTTCTAATGATCAAGGTATTCAGGAGGTCCTGTGGCCATAGGGCAGGCTCTGGAGCCAGACCGCCTGGACTCTGATCTTCAACTTACCATCCATGTGGCCTAGGACAAATTATATAACTTTGTTGTGCCTCAGTTTCCTCACCTGTCCAACAGGGACAATAACAGTACCTACATCATAGGTTTGTTGTCAGGATTAAATGAGTTATATGTCTACAGCATTTGTAACAGTGCCTGGTGGTGAAGAGCCTGTCACTGTTAGTTTTGAACAAAAAAGGCAGGAGTTAAACCTGTAGCACTGAGTTGAAGTAGCCTGATAAAAAAAATTAGGGAGTGTACTCCATCCTTTCTCTTTTTCCTTGACCCTTACATTTTCTAATGGGTAGCAAAATACCTTGTACCATGTTTAGAGCACAGTTAGCTATCTGGCTCCAGGTAACAACATTTAATTTCTACTGTATTCCTGAGACTAATTTTCAAGCTTTCTTCCTTCATTCACTGACCCTTGTTATTCTGGGGAGAGGGAAGAGCCATCTATCCCAGAAAAAATGAAACATGTCTTTCTCAAGGACATAATGCACGTTGACCCAGCATAGGAAAGTATTAAAAAACAAATAGGGAGAATGGTTGTTCTTTTTCATTTGTCTCAATTCACCTGTTAACCTTTATTGAGTGCTTGCTATGTACTACATATTATCTATCCCAAGCATTTTCACATGTCATCACATATAATTCTCTTACATTAAAACTTATGAGGGAGATACAAGTATTCTCTTTTGGCAGGGAATAGGAAATTGAGGTTCAGAAAGACAAAGTGACTATCTGTGGGCTCAAGGGCACATAGCTAGAAGTGGCAGACCTAGTCTTTAGATTCCATATCCAGGCTCTTTTTGCAAGGTTATGTTGCCTGTAACCTGTCCTGAGTTTTTGAGCACAGAAGAGAAAAAGGTTTTCAGGACCAATACACTACTTCCTTTGGTTACTGTTCGGTCCTAATCACCTCCACTCCAGTTATAGAATGAGCTATTAATTATGGGACATATGGATTGTTCTAGTATAGGCTGTCCAGGCTCCTTCTCCTCTTTCAAGGCCTGTTCTGATAACAGATTTAGTAGAGGGGTGCCTGGGTGGCTCAGTCGGTTAAGCTTCTGCCTTCAGCTCAGGTCATGATCCTAGGGTCCTGGGATCAAGCCCCACACTGGGCTCCCTATTCAGCAGGAAACCTGCTTCTCCTTCTTCCTCTGCCCCTTCCCCTGCTTCTGCTCTCTCTCTCTCATTCACTCTCTCAAATAAATAAAATCTTTTTTTAAAAAAAGGTGGTAAACAAAACACAAAAAGAGATGTTTAAATAAACCCAGCTGTGCTATTTATCACAATAAATGTAAATAGAATGTATTAGTTTTCCAGGTCTGCTATTACAAATTACCACAAACTTGGTAGCCTGAAACAACTGAAATTTACTCTTTCAGTGTTCTGGAGGCCAGAAATCCAAAATCAAGGTGTCAGCAGGGTCCTGCTCCCTCTGAATGGTCTAGGGGAGAATCCTTCCTTTGCAGCTTCCACCTTTGGCTTGTGGCTACATAACTCTAACCCTGCCACCTTCTCATGGTCCTGCATTGGGCTCCTTGCTCAGCGGGGAGTCTGCTTCTCCCTCTGCCTCTGCCCCTTCCCTCCACCTCCTCCACCCCCAGCTCATGCTCGCGCACTCGCTCTCTCTCTCTCTGTCAAAATAAGTAAAATCTTAAAAAAAAAAAAAACATAGTAGAGAGATTGGTTGCCATCATTATGATTATCAGAACAAACAGTGATCAAGGGCCCCGAGATGTGCAGTAGTATCTTAGCTCCTTGAGTCAGACGATATTTAGACTAGAAGGAATCTCAAAGGTAATTAGATCTGTCCCCTTCAGTTAATAGGTGAAGAAACTGAGGCCTAGAGTCATCAATTATGATGATAGAGAGATGGCTTAGTGGCCGTAGAGACTGCCTGGGCTTATGATTACCCCATAGCAATCTCCAGCAGGATTCCATTTTGGAAGTAGGGCAAATTTATGACCAAAGTAAAGATAAAAGTTATCTGAGATACAGGCAAGTAGGTAGGTCTCCCAAGAGTAGTCCTCATAAGAGAGGAAAATGATACTGATCGCTGTGAGGTCCTCATTTATGTGCTAGAAGGACCTGACTGATAGGGACCTAATATTGAGACAGTTCTAGAAATACAGGCTACACATTTGAAAAGGGTATGTAAATATGCTGGACCATGTCAGAGGACTTTTTGCTTTCCACTTTGAGGTGGAGTTCTGACTCTTTGAGCTCATTCCACAGATTTTTGCAGAGGAGCATGTTTAGTGAGCTGTTCCTTTGTTATACCTTGTTCTTGTTTCCAGACTGGATTATATAATCTCTGGCATTTAGTTCTAGGAATAATCTCTATTCATGAAACACAGCACAACACACACACATACACACACATACACACACCACCCCAGTAGGCTAATTCCCTCGTATGAGTACTGTTTGAGTGTATCTTCTAAAATGTGAAATAACTCCTAGTTCTCTAATACATCAGTATTTGGCTAGATGCCACATCATAGGCCATGCTGTAATAACAATAGTAGCCACTTATTGAACACCTGCTATGTGCAAGGTGCCATACATAAAAGATAAGGAAACTCTGACAGGTAGTAAAGTTGAATAACTTGACCAAGGTCACACTTTCAGTAAACAGCAGGACTGTACTCAGACCCAGTGCTGTCTGACTCCTGAGCCTGAGCTTTTTAGAGTCTACTCATAGGATATAAAACCTATGTGGAGGAGTCCTCTTAAGTCTGGTGTGTCACTGAGCTGTTCCTAGTTTACTTGGTCTCTAAACTGAACAATGGTTTTACTCTTTAGTTTATATTTGACTTGTTGCTCCTGTTCATCTGGAAATTAAGCATATAAAGAAGGTGAGGTGGTTGACTGTTGGCTAGCAGTGCTGTAAAGGTATTTACAGTCAGAAATGCTGGCTCCCCTTCCCTTCCCTTTCAGCCTTAGAAAGGGTATAGAATAAGAGCAAGAAGTACTGAATAGATTAGGTACAGTCTAAGTTGTGTAAAAGAAACCAGCCTTAGAGAAGCCAACATCTTTGGATCTAAACAGTCTTAGAGGGCTGAGCTCCTGAATAGATTGGCACATTCAAAATTCAATTTGTATGGCCTCACATGCCAGTATATTTTCTAATTAAATTAAGCCCTTGTGTTAGGGCTTTTGAAAGCTTTTCTTTCTTTCTTTCTTTTTTAATGTTGTGGTTTTATGACCGGATCAGCCTTGCATTTAAAAGCAACAGAAAATTTAGTCCTTGGTACTATTCTAAATTATCACCTTAAAAGAGAAATTCTATGTAGAAACTGTCTTAAAAGATATTTTTATAACTTAATGAGGGTCTTTCCAAAAGATGATTTCTTTCTCTGTTCCTTTACCACAAATGCCAGAAAAAGTTTAGGAGAACCATTATATTGGCAACTAGGTTCATTTATTCCAGATAATTTATGGATTTAATATTTCACATATAATGGCAACAAAATCAACTTTCTGGGTCTCTGCAATTTATTTTCATTTGTATTGGACTTTTATTAAGCTTCAGTTTACAACCTTAGCCTGATGTCTGCTGCTTCTCTATCTAAAGTTAGTTTTTATTAAACCTCACCTATAAATTTCTGCATTATAGACTTCAGATTTACTTGTTCTTCCTTTCTCTTTTCTTTCTTTCCTTGTTCATTTATTCATTTATATTTTATTTTTTAAATTACCTTTTTAATTATAAAAATTATATACCAACAATGAATTTTGTCAGACCTCACCAGAAATCCTACCACCGCTGTACAGTTGCTTTTATTTTTGCATTTTAACACTCAAGCCTTTGTTCGAATGCATCCATATACTTATGCAGGTACTGTATAAGAGACATCTAGCTTGGTGTTTTACTATTTTTCCATCTGATGCCGTTATAAGTAATTTTCTATGTTGTTACAGAGATTTTTAGCCATCTTTTGTTTTAATTGCAATATAATATTTTACCAGGTGGATGCACAGCAGTTATTTCATCCGTCTCCTGTTGTTGGATATTCAGATCGTCTCTTTCAATTTTTTCCATAATATTAGATAACACTGCAGTGAATTTGCTTACGTATATAATTTTTCTCTCCTTCTGAATGATTTCTTTAGGATAAATCCTAGGAGTATAGAAGTTCTGGGTCGAAGGATGTGAATATTTTTATGTTTTCTAGTATATGTTGCCAAATTACTTTCACTTTTAGAGTTTATGTCAGTTTATACTGCTGCCAAGCAGTATCACACCTGGATTATTGATGCCCATTTCTTAGAAGGCTTTATGTCTTCAATCTTGCCCTCCTTTGATCTGGCCTGTAAGCAGCTGCCCAAAATATTCTTCCAGAATGCTCTACTGTTCACACCTCCCTCAGAGTCTTCCTTTAGTTGCCTGTCACCTGTCTGGCAGTTCAGGTATAAATTTTTAAATTCAAGCCCTTCTTACCACCTGACATCATCCATTTTAATTGTTTTGCAAACCATATGTGAGGCAGCCTCTCTTGAGTTTCTTCAAACAGCCCTTCTCTCTTACCTCTAAGTCTTCCCCCTGACCATTTCTTAAATTAAGAACTACTTCCCTGTCAACATTTCTCCATCTCATTTAATTTCTAAAATTGCTTCTTCTACAAAGCTGACAACACAGAACCACCTGTAATGATGATATCTTTAGTGCTTTGGCAACTTTGCCAATAAATGTCAGCGTGGCCAATGAGAAAAATACAAAAGAAGGGCAGAGATGTTCAGTGGAGATTTTTTTAAAGGAAAACTTAGGATTCATAAGAGCACTTGGTTCTCCTGAATAAAACTTGAGAAAGAGAATGAGAAGTTTTATGCTGTGTTTTTGGGTACTATCACTGTTTCTGTGACAGTGGGCAAGATAACTTACTCTATCCTCTGTTTTAGCTACAGAGTGGAAAATACAGTGTTGCCAATCATTTGGAGAGTCATGACACTCTGTTCTCTTCTAATTATTTTTTTGTCAATATCATTGGCGTTATCATCATTATAATCCTAATATTTACTGAGTGTTTACTCAGTGCCAGGCACTGAGATGGTAGGTTATATGCCTTAGCTATTTTAACCCTCACAGCAGCTCTGTGAACTAGGTACCCCCTCTTTTCACAAGAGAAATACAGTGATAGAGATTTTGTTACTTGCTCAACTAGTTAGTGGTGGAGCCATAATTTAAACCTTAATTCTTAAAGAATTACTTTTCGGAAATACCAATCTATCAAATTTCTTTCCTGTCTACAATTCTGTGATTATTTCTAACTGAATGTGAAAAAGAAAGCAACATTGGGTCTTAGCAATACTGGAAGACCCTTCCAAATTTCTGTCCAATTTACTTTTCCATTCTCCTCTTTCTCCACTCCCTCATCCCCTCACATGTGTCCTCTATTTCACTCTGACAGACCTGTTTATTTCACAAATATATCATACCATTTCACACAGCTGAGCCTTTGTTTCTGTCCTGAGAATGCTTTCCATTTGCCTCCTGGCAAACTCCTACTCATCCTCCAATATCCAGCTCAAATGCTCTATACTTTGTGCAAAGTATTCCAGATTTCCTCAGGCAGAGTTGGTGGCTTGGTACTCTGTTCTTTTGTCTGTTTTTCTGCTGTAGTCTTTCTTTTTTTTTTTTTTTTAAGATTTTATTTATTTATTTGACAGAGAGAGACACAGTGAGAGAGGGAACACAAGCAGGGGAAGTGGGAGAGGGAGAAGCAGGCTCCCCGCGGAAGAGGGAGCCCGATGCGGGGCTCGATCCCAGGACCCTGGGATCATGACCCGAGCCGAAGGCAGACGCTTAGCGACTGAGCCACCCAGGCTCCCCACTGCTGTAGTCTTTCACACTGCATTATAATTATTTACTTACATGCCTATCTTCCTTTAATATGAGTGTTGAAACAACGTGGGAAGGCAACATTTTTACAGACATGTTTTTAAACATAACCAAAATTTAAAATCTGTGTATTTAAAATGACATTATTTCCCTTTTTTCCCCCCTCAGCATAGGGCTACTTTCAAATTTGAATCAACAGATGAAGATAAAAGAAAGGTAAGCCTTGGTGTTACTCTTTGTGTGTGTATTTGTGTGTTTGTGTGTGTGTGTTTCATTCATGGACTCTTTAAACAGTGAACTTGTTTTCATCTGATGATTTTTAGGTTTTGGTTTCCTTTCAGTTTGTTTTTAGGAACTCTGAGAAGAAGACAAGTACCAGGGTTAGTATGGATTACACCCAACCTTCTCCTGGTCCATTCTCACAGGACCGTTATACTTGCATAAATCAGAGGAATGGGAAGGGTTCAGAGGGGACTCTCCCCATATCTTCTCAACTCCAGAGATTGACCTTATTTGGTGGCAGAACTGTAGGCTGCCCAAAATGCATTGCTAGTATTGTGAAGCTTGGCTTTGGATTAAGTTTTGGGAAAGCAGCTGTTCGTGCTGCTGCCCCTCAACCACACATTGTTCTCTGTACTAGCAGTTATTTATATTGTCAGCAATTATCTTGGTCACTCACTTCACAGGCATAGAGAAAAATGGAGTCAAGAGCCTCACCAGTAGAGGAGTTATTGTAAGAAAGGGTGCATCAGAGGGGTGCCTGGGAGGCTCGGTCAGGTAAGTGTCTGACTCCTGATTTTGGCTCAGGTCATGATCTCAAGGTCATGAGATCAAGCCCTACATCGATGTCCGTGCTAGGCATAGAGCCTGCTTAAGAGTCTCTCTCCCCCTCTCCTCCTCTCGAAAAACAATAAAAATAAATAAAAATAAATTTTAAAAAAAGGGTGCATCAGACATAAGACCATGTAATGTTATGTTTGCCTGTTGGGGTTGCATGTGGTTGTTTTACTTAGCTGATTAGAACATGATGCTAAAGGAGGAGCTCACCAGTTCCCCCTGAGAATTTTGCTGGGCCCCATACATCTATCCCTGGCCATACAAATATCAAGACCAAGTGAGAGAAGATGACTGAACCAGTGTAAACCTACCACTGCTGCTGAAAAAATAGCTTAAATCCAGTGTTTTGCTGGGAATGGTTTGATAATACGTTGAAATCGTCCCTTTATTTACCTCCACCCCTATGTAATATCTACATTTTGTTCATTTTACCTCTTAAGGCTCCTTCAGTCCATTCTCTCCTTAATTCCTCCCCTAATTCAAGCCTTCCCCTGAGTTACTGTACCAGTTTCCTGACTGTTCCTTCTTTTTCCAGTTATGTGCCCTTTCAGTCCATTGTCCATAATTCTAAAACAACAATATGATCATGTCACTCCCAACTTCAAAACCCATGAGTGATTTTCTTTGCCTGTAGAATAAGGTCAAGCATCTTAACATGATATAATACATGTCGTGATCTGATCTCTTTCCACTTTTGCAGCCTATTGCGTACTACTCTATTGTATTTTATGCTTTAGCAATATGAAATATTACCAGGTACATCCACATCCACATCCCTTCTGCTCTTTCTCCCTAACTTTGCATATGTTGTTTTCTACCTAGAATGCCCTCTCCTTCTTGTATACCACTTCCTCTTTTCACCTGGTTAATTCCTACTCAGCTCTGGGAGCACCTCCTTCAAGAAGCCTCCTCTGGCATTCTTTCAGGATGAAATACCCTGCTCCAGTATTCCCATAAAATTCTATGTAAATCTCTTAACATTATGCTTGTACATTATCTCAATTATATATTGATGTCTCTCATTGATAGACCCTGCAAACTCCAATGATAGTACTATTATTTATCTTTATATCCTCGACATCTAGAATGAACAGCACATAATAGGTATTCAAAAAATATTTATTGAATGAGTGACATGGGGTATAAACCATGAAGGGTAAAGATTTAAGTCTGATTTTCTTTTGGATTTGAACAGTGTAAACAAGACTAGAGTACTTTGTAGAATGGATTCTCAACTAGGGATATGCTGTTTGAAGAGCCTTTTCAAGATAGACCTGCTCAGGCCTGACCCCTTATCTACTGAGTCAGAATTTGGGGGGTGGAATCCAGTCATATGTGTTTTTATAAATGGTCTTCAGGAAATAAGTACTTAGACATTTGGTGGGAGTGCAAAATGGCACAACCCCTATGGAACAGAAACTGACACTATCTACCAAAATTACAGATGCATTTTGCCCTTTGACCAAGCAAGGTTACTTTTAGAAATCTATTCTGTGGATAGGTTCAACCCAGGTAAACATAGTATTCATTGAAGATTGTGCATAATAGCATAAGATTAGAAACAAACAAATGTCCAGCAATTAGGGAGTATTTGAAGAAACTAGGGTACATCTACATAATGGATTACTATGATGTAGTAAAGAGAGAGAGAAGGGGAAGGGGAGGAGGAGAGAGACAAGGTATGTGCTAAGGGGACAGAGAGTTAAGTGAAAAAAAGAAGGAGCAAGGTGTTAAAAAGAACAATTTTTGGCAGACTCATGATAGGTATTCAGGCTAGGGAGGCAGCTGCTATTTTTATTTTATTTGAGAGAATCTATACTATATCTGTTGATTCATGGTGCCTTGGGACTCTGATACTAGAATCTGATAGTGCTTTTACTGGTCAAAATAAGTACATTAAGACAGAGATTCCCCCCACTCCAGGTAAGTTTCAGTTGAGGCAGAATAATTCTCCACTCAGTTGTTAATAAAGCATGTGTATTTTCTGTAGGATAGTAGCAAAATGTAACATATCAATGTATTGTTTTTTTACCGCCTGCTAGATCTTTGGGAGACAGTAGCTCCTGTACTGGTGTTATTTTCAGTGATAGTAGGTAGATTCCTGCTTCCTGGGAGGTGTGATATAAACATATGCAATTAGGGACCTAGCTAGCTGTCTTATTAATGGAAAAACATAGGCAAACAAAATCATTCTAGTCTCCAAGGGTTAAAATCATTAGTGACTCTTTCACACCTAAAGCCCTAAAACTATTGGAATGCTCTGAAGGATCTACATCCTAACAGCTTTTTAGGTTCTCTGTGTAAAGACATAGAATAGTAGGCATGTCTCCACATTAAACCCAGTCTGAAAATAAGAGGAACTCAAGTTACTGTCCAATTTGTTTTGCTGCCCTAGTTCTCTTTTTCTCTTTCCTAAACATGTCTCTGGAGCCTTCTGCCCACAGCTCCTTGGTAACAGCAGCACCCCTTTCAACAAACTACAGGTGCTATCTTTCTGAAAAACACAATACCTTCCTTCTAAGAACTTTTATGACAACTTAGAAATGTAAGGGAACAGACAGAGCCTTTCAAAAAATAAAACTTGATTATACTGAGCTTTTTAGGAATTGGTTATAAATTAATGATCTTTAGACTTAATTCCCAACACTTAGATAGTGTTTTATATAATTACAAAGATTTGCTTTGCAACAGTAATGCAGTAATGCTCTAAGTATGGTGAGAGTATTGCCAACCCTATTTTATGGATAAGAAAACAGGTTCACGTTAATGACAACTTGCTAACCACTCACATGACTAGTAAGTGGCGGATCCCCAAATAGAGGATGGATTTTCTGACTGTTAAGTGCAGCTGCCACTCATTACCACTTGAGGTGTATTTCAGAGGTTTTGAAATTATGACTCACTACCTTGTTTTATTTCTTATTTCATTCCTTGAGACACCAGTTAGGCAACTAGACTGACCTGGAAAATAACAAAGGAAATTACCAACAAGGAGGGCTTAAGTTTTTCTAGAGAAGTAAAGTCAGATACAACTGTTATATTTTGCATATAGTGCAAATAGTTCCAGGTGCATGTGGATCATTGTATAGTTAGATATAAGCACCTGTGCTTATTGAAGCATTTGCCTTACATCCTCTACCTCTAGGCTGTGATTGTTTACCTGCTCATAAACAAATACAGCATGCAAATACGTAGGATGGGGGGGAAGTATGATGAATAATCTGAAAATTTACATCTTGAGGAAATGAAATCTCTTATATTGGCTTCTAAAACACAAATGATCTCAAGACCAATAAAGAGTACTAATTGCAATAAATGTTGAAAATACATTGTCATAAAATGAGTAAAAAAATTGCAGCTCTTTCTGGGCGCCTGGGTGGCTCAGTTGGTTAAGCGACAGCCTTCGGCTCAGGTCATGATCCTGGAGTCCCGGGATCGAGTCCCGCATCGGGCTCCCTGCTCGGCAGGGAGTCTGCTTCTCCCTCGGACCCTCCCCCCATCTCATGTGCTTTCTCTCTCATTCTCTCTGTCTCTCAAATAAATAAATAAAATCTTTAAAAAAAAAATTGCAGCTCTTTCACCTGTAAGATAAGAATATAGCCATATCAAATGTGGAAAACCTCAGTTGTTGCTGAGATAAATCTTTGTGTACATAGCAATTTTCCTCAAAAGAGTGAAGTTAAAAATAGCCAAATTTTGAGTATTTATCTCATTATCTTTAAACTCACATAGATAAGCCCATTTTTTATAAAGGCAGAAGGTAATTGCTGAGTTGAGAACTCTTGAAGAACAAGAGCTCTGGATTAGTTTTCTTTATATATTTCAGCCCCCCATGTGGCAGAAAATAGGCATCTGTAGTAAACACCTATTAAATAAATGGAAGAAACTTGGAGATTGAGTGAAGGCCAGAATTCCTATGACTTGTACATATTGTTTGACTTTGAATTTGATATTCTCTTAATTATACAGTAGAATCTCAATGTAATGTTTACTGGAAAAAATGGATACAAAAGTATTCATACAGTATGATCACAATCATGTAAAATTAATAACTATACAAAGAAAAATGACTGTAAGGAAATTTACTAAATGGTGGCTGTCTGAATATTATTACTGTAGATGATATTTTTCTTTCCCTTTTCTATATTTAAATAGAAAATTACAGTAGATTATGATTTAAGAATATGGTGATTATATAACATTATATATCCTATTCTTCTGTAGTAGTGTGATTAGAGGCATAAGCAAAGACCAAAACTTTTTTAAAATCATTTATTTTCCCTAAAATTGAGCCTTCTTGATTATCTTATATATGCCTTTGGAGGGGAACATAAAAAATGTTACTAGTTTGGAAATAATATTACTTGTGGAGCCAGTTT